CTTGAAGGCTGGCTACCTTATTAGAGCCTTGTGTCTAGAAATAAGCTGAGTCAACCCATGCATCCTCACTTAGAACCCAATTTTGAGTCTAGAACGAAAGTACAGAAGCTACCCTAGCTTTCAAGATAGGACACGTGTGATGAGCATTTTAGAATAAGAGTAAAGAAAAAGAAACAAATAGAATAATTTAAAAAAATAATAATAATAAATGAAAAAAAATAAAAAACAAACACAATAAGGATAGATAAAATTAATAATAAAAAATGAATGAATAAATAAAATAAGAATATAAAAATATAATAACAAACTATATATATAAAACATAAGAAGTAAAAAAAAGAGAGGGAATAAAAGAAAAGAAAATAAGCAATAAGTAGCAAATACAAAATAATAAAATTTTGCTCTTACATACAATAATAAACTGTCCTATTTAATCAGGAATGGAGTCGAAGCATTTTGAGTACTCGGGTTTCGATCCCAGGCTGCTAAGGAAAATCAAAAGTGAGGAGCTAGATGTGACTGATTTGCTCAGCTCTCTCATGTGAATCATCTGGCCCACGTTAATCTAGATTGGCCATTGCTCAAAGCGACTTTCAAGTGTTGGGACACTAGGAAGATGGTGTTTTGCTTCAGCAACAATCAATTATGCCCAACCCTTGAAGAAGTGGTTTATTTACTTTGCATGTGGTTGGAGGATGAGGCATTGGTACCTCTGTATAAGCAAGGGTACAAGGATGATGTAGCACAGTATATTTGTTGCAAGAAGAGTCAAGTAAAAACGATAAATGATTGCACTCTCTCCATTGATTACCTGCTCCAAAGAAACTGAATACAAGCTACATAATGCAAAATGTGAAAGAGTAGGACATTTATTATTCCCTCTGTATCGTGACAAAATTCATGCATGCCTTGTCACTATGTTACAAAAGTTGGATTTGTTCGGAATTTCATCTAGTTGTGCAAAGGAAACCCTTGTCCCTATGGTGTTATCAGAAATCTTGAGAGGTTTATCCCTATTACAGACAGAAAGATATGGCCTTTCCAAGGATCCCTTCAGATATTACAACTGTGTTTTACACATCATCTTCCTTTTCTGATTATCCCTGTAAGGTAGAATGTGCAGTAGAAACCTCGCTTTCGGGTCATTGAAATATTGTACATTCGACCGCAGCCAGCGCATATGACATGGCAGGATTATTATGAAGTGCTGCAAAGAGTGACGGAAGACTCCATTGATTGGAGATTGGACCAGAGATTGCAAGAGGGGTGCAGCCAACCACGTGAGCACAGGCAAAGCATTATTTTAGCAGGAGCATATGGTTCAGTCCCATATGCTCCTATGAAAGAGATAAGAAGTAAAAGAGAGAAAAGTAAAAAATAAAAGAATTCTTTGTATTGCTTGAATGACCTATAGACTAGGCTAAGATGGGTACAGTATATATATACAATGAACAAAAATAATAAAAGAAACTAAGAATAGAATAAGTAGTTGTCTATGTACAAAGATTGCTAATTAATTCTCTTTCTAATTTAGTGGTTGCCAAATCTGTATGAGAGCTTTCATTAGTAACTGCTATTCTTGGAGGAGATCTTTCATTGGTAGCTACTAAAGATCCTTTATTGATAGTTGCTAAGCTGGACTAAGAGTCTCCATTAGTAACTGCCAAACTTGTGGAGTTACCTTCTAGAGTGCTTTCCTTAATACGCCCCCTCAAGCGAAAATAGGCTAGAAGCACATGAAGATTGGACCGAAGAAAATCAAATCGAGCTGGAGCAAGAGGTTTGTTAAAGATGTCAGCTAACTGATCATCAGTAGAAATATATCGGATGTCCAAATTTTTACAAAGAATATGATCACACAAAAAATGAAAGTCCACTTCGATGTACTTGGTATGAGCATGAAACACCAGATGTGTTGCCAGATATGTGGCGCCAATATTATCACAATAAAGAATAGGCAAAACAGACCGACGAATACCCAAATCCCGTAGTATAGACTGAAGACACAGTAATTCGATGGTGGTGTTAGCTAATGAGCGAAATTCGACTTTAGTGCTAGAACGGGCAATGGTGAGTTCTTTCTTCGCACTCTAGGAGATTAAATGAAACCCAAGAAAAATACCATAACCGCCAGTAGACCGGCAATCATCAGGGCAACCGTTCCAATCAGCATCTAAAAAAGCAACTATATAAATACCTAGGAAAATTAGAWGCAAAAAATAGCCCATACTCAATTGTGCCTTTGAGAGAATGCAGAATGCATTTCATTGTCGTCCAATGATCATTGGTCAGGTTCTAAAGGAATTGGCAAGCCTTGTTTGTCGCAAATGCCACATCTGGTCATGTAAGTGTAACATACTACAAGGCCCCAACAGTGTTGCGATACTGAGTAGGATCAGGAAGCGGGTCTCCCTGAAATTTAGACAATCTGGACATGGGAGCCATAGGCATGGTTAAGGGTTTAGAGGCTACCAGATTAGTTTTCTGTAGGAGGTCCAAAATGTAACGCCTCTAAGAAAGAAATAGCCTAGTCTTATCTCGATGAGCTTCTACTCTAAGAAAATAGTGTAGAGATCCGAGGTCCTTAAGAGAGAAACTCCGAGACAAATCCAAAATGAGTTGAGAAACATGAGCAACAAAAGAACCAGTAACAATAATATTATCAACATAAACCAAAATATATAGAGAAATACTATTTTTGGTGTAAATGAAGAGAGAGGAATCACATTGAGAACTTCTGAAGCCAAGATCATGAAGTCTACTACTGAGTTGAGAAAACCAAGCCCAAGGGGCTTGACGAAGACCATAGAGAGCCTTTTTAAGCTTGCAGATATAATCTGGACGTGTCTGATCCTCGAAACCCTAGGGCTATTTCATATATATATTTTCTTGAATAAATCCATTCAAGAAGGCATTGTGAACATCTAGCTGCTTAATGTTCCATCATTGTGAGGTGGCCAAAGATAAAATCATACGAATAGTGGTTGGCTTAACAACAGGGCTGAAAGTGTCAATGAAGTCAACACTAGGAACTTGAGAGAAACCCTGAGCTACTAGTATGGCTTTGTATCATTTCGTAGAACCATAAGGTTTTCTCTTAAGTTTGTAAACCCACTTAAGCCAATAATATTCATAGACGGATCATAAGGAATAAGTTTCCATGTACCATTCTGTATGAGAGAATGAAATTCAGATGCCATAGCAATGCGCCAGTGAACAGACTTGGACGCCTGAGAGTAGGAAGTTGGTTCTACATCACTCTGACTACCATCTGCAAGTAGTCCTTTAGGTAAATGATACCTTATGGTAGTCCGCACATAGTAGTCATAGAATGTGTCCATATAGCCGGAGCAGGAACAATAGGTGTGGCATACAGAATCTCTTGAATCAGCCATGTTTTCTGACATGGCTGATCTATCTGATTATCAACATGAGATAAAGATTCATTAGTATCAGTTGAAGATGAGCTTGCAATTATACCTTGTTCAAGAGACGAACAGTCATGAGAAGAGATATCATTCTCTTACACACTAGTGACTGAGAGAACAGGTAGAAGGGCGACTAGTGCCGAATTCAGAAGTTCAAAAGGATTCCTCTCTTGAGAGATTCCCAGAAATTGTTTCTCATCAAAAACCACATGTCTTGCAATAATTTCTTGTGGAGTGACTGGATTATACCACTTATACCCTTTATGAGAAGAACTATATCCAATAAAAATGCATCTAATAGATCTATAGTCCATCTTGTGCTTGTTATATGGATGAATAAAAGGATAGCAAAGACAACCAAAACTTTGTAATATAGAATAATCAGGTTTTCAACCAAACAACTTTTCATAAGGAGAGAGATTACCAAGTGTTGGAGTAGGCAACTGGTTAATGAGAAACATTGCAGTTTCTGTTACTTCAACCTAGAAGGATTTGGGGAAATAAGAGGATGCTAGTAGAGAGAGAGTGGACTCAATAATATGTTAGTGTTTCCATTCAGCATTTCCATTCTGCTCATGAGTATGTGGGCAGCTCACCCTGGGTGAAATTCCTTCACTATCCAAGAAGGGGGATAATTTTTGAAACTCTCCTTCCTAATCACTTTGGAATAGTCATGGGCTAGGTGGCCCGATGGGCCGGCCCGACCCCCGGACGGGCTTGAACATGGTTATAGGCCTGCGAGCTTAAATTCGGGCCAAAAAGCCCAGCTCGCAATAAATTCGAGTCGGACTCGGGTTATGTCAAAATAGCCCGCCCCAGCCCGACCTAATATTAGACTTAAAGTGAGTAATGTGATTATGTCCATTTGAATAAATTTTTTTATTTAAGAATGTAAAACTGTGTTTTAAAATATAAAAGAAAGGAGAAAAAAAACATCTTGTAGGCCCATTGTTCATTTAAATAGGAAAAAAATTATCTGAATTTTTAATTCTAATTTGAATAGGGAAAGTTGTTTTTTTTATTAGGTCGAGCTTCGAGCTTCGGGCTCGGGCTCGGGCCCAAGTTATAGGCCCGTTGGTCGGGCCGAGCTCGGGCCCAAGTTATAGGCCCGTTGGTCGGGCCGAGCTCGGGCTCGGGCCTAGCATATTTCCCTTAATGACAAGTGAAAGCTCGGCCCGAGCCCGGCCCAGCCCGACCTATGAACAGGTCTACTTTGGAACTTCTTAATTTTAGTGAAAAAGAGATTTTCAGCATGTCTCTTAAATTTAACAAAAGCATCAAAAACATCTAATTTCCTTTCAAGAGGACAAATCCAAGAAAACTCTGAATATGCGCCCATAAACACAACATAGTACTCATAGCCTTTTGTAGACAAAACTGGGGTGGGTCCCCATACATCTGAATAAATTAACTCTAGAGGCTAAGAGACATTACTAGAAGAAATTGGCAAATTTAAACAGTGTGCTTTGCCTAATTAGTAAGCCTCACAAACAAAATGATCATTCACATGTCCTGAATAAGGTAAACCAAATTTAGAAATTACTAGTTTAACTACTTTCAAAAATGCTTGTCTTAAACGATGATGCCAATCCTGAAAGAGGCTCTTTCTCCAACAAGTGCTTTGGCTGAATTTTCTTTGTCATCATTGGCTCCCAAGAACTGATAAAGCCCATCTCTATTGAATCCTCTTAGTAAAATTCTCCCCATACGATCCTTCAATAAAAAGAAATCCGGGCGAAATTCAAATACTAAATTATTATCTCTTGTAAATTTGCTAACAAAGATCAAATTCTTTGTCAGGATAGGAACATGATAAATATTTTTCAGATTAAACTGATAATGATTATGATTTAATGAAGAAGAACCAATACTCTTAATTGTTAAGCCTTCACCATTACCAACTTTCACTTGGTCCGTACCCAAAAATTCTGACCTGTTCTGTAAGGTATCAGCATCTGGAGTCATGTGATGAGTTGCTCCACTATCAGGGTACCAAGCAGGGTCGAAAACCACTATGAAACGCAGTCGCGGGATCTGGAGAATTATTGTTATATTCTCCTTGGTACAAGAGGTCATACCGTTTGTAACACTTGAGTGCACCATCACCGGGTTTGTTACATACTTGATAGATAATTGTATTACCTCTACCTCAACCTTGTCCTTGTCCAAACTGATTGTCACGCCGCTGCCACTGTCGCGACCATAGTTCCCTTTGTTATTCTGAAACTGAGAATTATTATTGTTATTCTTGCCATTATTATTGTTATTTGCAACTATATTGACATTGGGAGCTTTACTGGAAACATTGTGCTGAATAAGCCAAGATTCATGGCTAAGCAATAGACCAAGAACATCATTGATGCCTAATTGATCAGCATCAGTTCTATTAGTAATAGCAGTGATAAGAGATTCATATTTGCTTCCTAGTCCAGATAAAACGTAAAGAACAAGGTCTTCCTTAGCTACCGATTTAGAAACAGCAAATAGATTGTCTGCAATAGTTTTTGCTTTCTAAACATATTCACTTATGGACAAATTTCCTTTCTTAAGATTCTGTAACTATCGCCTTGTAGCACCCTAGATCATGAGTGAGAAGAGAATGATCTCTTTAGGGCACTCCAAACTTCAGCTGCAATAGACAGTCCAACAACTTGGGCTAATACACCCTCTGTCAGAGATGCAACAAGCAACTTAAAACAAGTTGGTCCAACTGTACCCATGAAGAATAGTTTGGGTTAAGAATTTTCTTACTACCATCATTGGGATCTGGAATTTCCTCTAGTGGTGCCTTGGCTGAACCATCAATCAGGCCCATCAGTTTGTAGGCTCTGAGAATTTGGCAGAAGTTGAACCCTCTATAGAAGAAAATTTTCTCCATTCAGCTTGATGGTGATATATGGAGAAATATTGGGAATGGAGTTCATGGCTACTGTAGTAGTCATGTTCTGAAGATCAGAGGAGTTGGAGCTCATGGCTTCAAACGAATTAGCATTGTGAGATGCCATAGGCTCTAATACCAAGATAAGAATGTAAAAGAGAGAAAAGTAAAAAATAAAAGAATTCTTTGTATTGCTTGAATGGCCTATAGACCAAGCTGAGATGGGTACAATATATATATACAAAGAACAAAAATAATAAAAGAAACTAAGAAAATAGGCAATTGCCTATGTACAAAGATTGCTAATTAATTCTCTTTCTAATTTAGTGGTTGCCAAATATGTATGAGAGCCTTCATTAGTAAGTACTATTCTTGGAGGAGATCTTTCATTGGCAGCTGCTAAAGATCCTCTATTGGTAGCTGCTATGTTGGACTGAGAGCCTCCATTAGTAACTGCCAGACTTGTGGAGTTACCTTCTGGAGAGCTCTCCTTAATAGATAGTGCTTAGGCAGTTTGGTATTAAACAGATATTACCTTCCATTGGCTGTATGGAATCAGATTTCATTCAATTCTCGAAGCTGGACGCAAATCTGCAACAGTGTTTGAAATTACATTGGTCTGCAAATAAGAGAGATTTGTGCTTTATAGAATACACTAAGCAACCTACATGCATTCCTGCTTATTACCAATGGCTGCAACAATCAGAGAGTCACCCATGTGAGCTCAATATGGAGCTGCCCTTAACAGCATCTGGATCCCTTTCGTCCCAAGTCCCACACAAACATGGCTTATGGAGTGCATCTGAATCACGAAGGAACAAGATTTACAAGTCAAACGAATGACTTGTTGAGTTCATTGATCTAGTGCTACTAATGTATAGCGATAAGCTTCACAAAGCAATTTTAGGATGTTTCAGATGTTGGATTCCTTTTGAGAAAAGATATTTCTAGATTTGTTTTGTTCTTTCGTTAATGATGTTTTGTGGTATACAAAGTGGACTTCAGTTGGAAATCTCACGACAGCTTTGAGTTTTTCATTCAATTTGTGCTTTAGTGGTGTTGATGGTAGATCTATGCTTTCAGCATCATTATTGTATGAAGATCAAATAAAAAATATATAATATAAAATAATATAAAAATAATAATAAAAGAATAGTAATATAAAAAAAATAATAAAAGAATAGTAATATAAAAAAAATAAAAAAAGAGGGAAAAAGGACAAAAGGGATGACTGAGGAAAGGAAGCATATACAATGAGGAAACAAGAAGAAAGATAATGTAAATACAATAAAAATATATCTAAATAATTAAGTAAAATAATATAAAATAATAATAATAATAAATAATTAAAAAACATATATATATATATATATATCAAAAACAAAAGTGGAACGAGAGAAGAAATAATTACTAATTGAGCTTTGATGGTCAACAGAGCACCACTGGGAATCCTAGGCCTGCAACTCGACATATATCACCAGATCAATCGCACGAGCAATGACACAAGAATCGCATCAGAATGAGAGCACTATTCCCCCGTCTTCCATGGGTTCATCTACTTCATCGGACTCAATGATACCAGCCTCAGTTCCATACACTAAATACCTCCAGCTTCAAGAACAACTAGAGGATGTGATAGCCTAGTTTGCGGCTTTCTACGAGGAGAATAATCGATCAATACCTACCCCTCCCTCTTCCACAAACCCAAGTACCCAACCACTAGTGTCAGGAACCTCCCCTACCTTCACACCTCCCAACACCTCAACCACCTTCCCACCTTTCAATTCCACTTCATTTCCCACATATACCACCCCTAACACTACACTCCCCCTTTTACATTCGCCACTTTGTCACAGCAGCCCCCGCTTTAACTAGTCTTCAGCTCTATGGAACAATCCCACCACTAGCCTCCACCTTAACCAACCTTCACCTTTGGTGAAAAATCCTACTATCAACCCCCGCATCAGCCAACCTTCAATTTCCCGGGGCAATCCTATACTCGACCCTCTCCAACCTTCTTCGGAGAAGATGATCCCAAATTTTCTACACCACCTCCCCTGTTCCAGACCCCCCTCAAGGATGATGTGGAAAATTTGAAGGAAGAAATGAGGCAAGTAAAAGGGGTGCATAATTTTGGGGTTATAGATTTTAAAGAGTTATGCCTTTACCAAATGTTTTCTATGGAGACATGTTTCAATACGGGTCTGATGAAAAACTTCTGATCCAAATGTTTCAGAAGAGTCTGACAGGTAGCGCGAGAACATGGTTCGCCAACCTGGGGGAGGAGAAGAAGTCATGGAAAAAAGTTTCAGAAGCATTCCTAGACCATTTCTCTTACAATATGGAATTGGTACCAGATCGGGACGATCTTGAATTAATGAGTCAAAAGTCAAGGGAATCATTTCTGGATTATGCTTAGCGTTGGCACAAAGTAATAGCCAAGCTCCGCAATCCCTTACCTAAAGAGGAAATGGTTTGGGCTTTTATAAAAACATTGAAGGATCCCTATCACACATTGTTGGTGGCCCAACCATTGAGAGACTTTAGCGATGTCGCTAGAGGCACTCTAAGGATAGAAGAATCTGTGTGTCATGGGCGCATGAACCCAGTAATAGCTAAGGCAAGAAGCCCAACCAGTTTTACTCCTAGACCAAGGAAACCTTCGCCCAGACCTAAAATTGAAGTTGAGATACATGCAATCCCCACCTATGCCCTTCCACAAACTGGCTTCGTAGCCACTGTTCATTCCAATCCCTTGCTTGCCAGACCACCTCTGGAAATGAACTCCCCCCCCCCACCACCTCGCCCAATGGTACCTTATTGACCTGAACCTCCAGTAAACCCTCAATATCCTCCATCCAAATACAACAATGTGCCCCCTGTTGCCTATCCCCCCCACTTTTTCTCCTCGCCCTCGCAAGGAATTGAGAGACCTTACTCAAATTCCATGCCCACACTCTTAGTTATTGCCCACCTTGGTCCAAGAAGGATATTTGAAACTGTTGAAATGGAAGCCGCCTCCAAAACATAAGCCTAAGAATTATGATGAGAATGTGTATTGTGCATTTCACTAGGGACCCAGTCACACTACAGACTATTACATAACACAAAATTTGTTACCTGATCACAGAGTCGGCCCCAGTTCATCCATTAATCTTATAGAATCTAGAGAGGAAACTTTTATTGATCCCAAGATGGTTATAGTCCCATTGGAAAACCCTATAATCCTGAATTATCCAATAACCCACCTTAACTCGTTTATCCTCACCATTGAGCCCAGAAGCCCCCACCCCCTTGTTTTTTCCTACCCATTGCCTAGTAATCAACATTGCTCAGTATCCCCCCACCGTCCACCTCTCAGGCCCATTAACTTTCCACCACAAGATGGTTATAGTCCACCACAAGTACCTTTCGTCATCTCTTACCCATAAGAATTGACCTACCAGGTTACTGACCGGATCCCTAAAAATTATTTGGTGGAACCTGTGGTAGCTCATATGCAAGACCCCTCCAAAGAAGAATGTGGGGCTTTACTACGGTTAGGGAAGATTATCCCCTCAAGAGCTGATTAAGTAAAAACAAAGGTGGGGGAAAATTTGAAGTTAGGTCAAAGGAAGAAGAAGCAAGAGAGGAAGACAAGTTTCAAAGAGCTATTGAGAGGTCCCGATACAATGTGGTGGACAATTGGCGAAAGTACCCGCTTAGATATCTATTTTAGGACTTCTAATCACATCTGAGGACCATCATTTATAGATCATGGAAGCGTTTCAAAAGGCTCATGTCCTTCCTAGTATTCAACCTGAGAAGTTGGCACAAATGGTTAGCATGATTCTGGCCCCTAGAACCATAACCTTCTCTAATGATGAGATCCCCACAGATGGCACTTCTCATAATTTACCATTGTACATCATTGTTGTATGTAAAGGAATGAGGATTCCCTCAGTATTGATTGACAATGGGTCGAGTTTGAATGCATGCACCCTCGGTGCCCTACACACCTTAGGTCTTGGAGAAAGGGATATAATGAAGTGACCGATGACCATCAGAGAATTTGATAATTCTGTGCAGTTGGGTATCAAGGCTTCTTTCACTTTATTGCTAGGATGACCTTGGCTACATATGGCTGGGGCAGTCCCTTCATCTTTGCATCAAAGGTTGAAATTCGTGTATGAGAATAATCTAATCACGGTTTTAGGGGATAATCAAATCACCCCTATAGGTGAATCCTTAGTCCAACATATGGAAGAAGGTAGTGGGTACTATTCATATCAATTTGAAGAAGTGAATTCAATAGAGAAGGTAAAGAGAGAGCAAGAAGCAAATAAGGAGTTGCCCTTGCATCTGAGGATGATGGCTAAGACGAAATTTAACCCAACTGGAGGTTTAGGGAAGAAACAACAAGGGCGAAGGAGTCCACTTAAAGCTAGGGAGTCGGCATGCAGGTTTGGTCTTAGGTACAGGCCTGATGAACATGATTTATTTGGTAAGAGGAAGAAAAAAGCATCATCCTTTAGCACCCCGATCCTTTTTGTTAAGACTGGAACCTTACCTGAAAACCAACCTCCCCAAGTCCAAGTCCCTTCATCCCAACCTAAGCCTACCGAAATCCCTAACCTTTCTACTCTCTTCATTAAAGATGAGGTTAGTCAGTGTATGGGAAAGAATCTAGTATCTCACCCAATTATCAGAGACAACGACAGAAGTGACAATGGGAATCGGGGCCTGGTTTTCACAATCGACTGGTCTACAGTCAAGGTTCCTGAAACAGTCCAATCGGAAAAAGATGAAGAATCCCATCCCTAGCTTTTCTCAGAGCTTTCTGATAGTAATGTTTGTGCAATTAACCAAGATGATCATATCGATCCAACACATCTTATCTACCCGTGTCCAGAAGAGGTTACTAATTGGAGTGCTTGTCCCATAGTGTTGGGAGTTGGCACCGAGATTGAATCATCTTCTCAAGTTTGAGTGTAATGCTAGAGTGGGGAGTCGATGCTCTCTACCCCACTTCTTTTCATATCGAAAGTTTTTATGTAAATAGTCAAAGTTCAGTCATGTTTTATGTCATTCCATGACACTAGCAGAACTACGTCGGGCCTGATCCCTTTCACGATGGTACGTAGCGCAACCCATATCATGGACCCAGCCCTAATCATAACTATTTTTTTTTATTTCCCCCATTACTTATTCCTCTACCTTTCACTTCGCTCTCATGGACAGGAGCTTCTTGATCAAGTGGAGCTACTTGAAGAGAATAAGCCGAAAGTGAATCTGAGCCTATAAATTTGGGTACTGAGGGTGAGCTGAAGGAAATATTGATTGGAGCTGACTTACCCCAGGAACAGAAAACAGATTTGATAAAACTATTTAATGAATACAACAACATTTTTGTATGGTTTTACAGAGATATGCCTGGTTTGGACATTGTCCTAGTGGTTCACAAGATCCCCACTTTTTCTGATGCAAAGCCAGTCAAGCAAAAGCTTCGCAAGCTTAACCCGAAATGGTCACTTCAGATTCAAGAAGTCAAAAAGTAGTTTGAGGCCAAATTCATAGCAGTAGCTACATACCCAAAATGGTCGGCTAACATCATTCTAGTACCAAAGAAAAATGGCAAAGTTCGGATGTGTGTTGATTTTCGTGATCTCAACCGAGCAAGTCCAAAGGATGATTTTCTTTTATTGAATATTGATATCCTCGTAGATGACACAGTTGGTCATGAAATGTTTTCATTCATGGATGGCTTCAATTTATTCTATCTCAGGGGATCTTGTACAAGAAGTCCCCAAGATTATCTTGGTTGAGATGCCTAGATGAATTGGAGGTACAAGAGAAATTATAAGAGGTGCATGGTGGAATTTGTGGGCCTCATATGAATGGACACATGTTAGCTAAGAAACTCCTTTGAATGGGATTCTTTTGGATAACAATGGACGAAGATTGTTGCAAACATGTCAGAAGGTGTCATGCCTGTCAAGTGTTCAGTAATAAGATTAATGCACCACCGTCAGAATTGTATTGTTTCACATCTCCTTGGCCTTTTTCTATTTGGGGTATGGACATGGTAGTCCCCCTTCAGCATGTTTCCAATGGGCACAAGTTTGTATTGGTGGCTATTGACTATTTTACCAAATGGGTAGAGGCAATGACCATCACTCATCCCACAATGAAGAAAATGGTACAATTCATCTGCAATCATATCACCGCCAAATACGGGGTCCGACATGAGACCATATCTAATAATGGAAAGAATTTTGTTGGTAGAGAAGTTAAAGAGTTGTGTGCACAATTCAAGATCAAGCAACTTCATTCTTCTCCATACCAACCTCAAATGAATAGTGCAATAGAAGCAGCAAATAAGAACATAGAAAAGATTCTGAAGAAAATGTCCCTCACTCATAAGTCTTGGCAGGATATGCTCCCATTTGCATTACTTGCATATAGAACTTCCATCTGTACCTCAACTGGGGCAACCCCTTACTCACTAGTGTATGGCATGGAAGCAGTACTCCCCGCATAAATTGAGGTACCTTCTTTAAGAATCTTGCTAGAAGTAGAAATCCCAAAAGATGAATGGGAAAGAGCGCGATATGAACATTCGACACTCTTGGATGAAGCTCGATTGACAAACTTGACACATGTACAAGACTACTAGAGGTGAATGGCACACGCTTTTAACAAGAAGCTTTGTCCACGCGATAATCAGTCTAGTAATCTGGTCCTTCGTAGAGCAATTCCAAATCAACAGGACAATAGGGGCAAGTTTGCCCCAACATACGAAGGCCTATACATTATAAAGATGTGTTTGTCGGGAGGAGCCCTCATATTAATCTGGATGGATGATTAAGATCTCCCTGAGCCAGTTAACCTTGATCAAGTGAGAAAATATTATGCTTAACCTCTTCTTTAGCCAAACTGGCCTACAGCTCGGGTTCATGCTTAGCCTATGAGTAATGACCGATGGGTCAAGTCCTGGCATGTGGTAGATCAAGCACAGACGTCGACATTAGTTTTGAGGAAGCTTACTAGTTCGAAAAGTGTGTCTAAAAGAGGTGGGACATGACATGCACCATCTTCTCGAGTTCACCCTTGTCTAGGGGAACCGAGACAAGGTCCTCAGCTGGTTGGCCTCGGCTCACTAGTTCATCCCTGAGGTCGATCCCCTCCAACGACAAGGCTTCTATGTTTTTGACTTTTAGTGCTGCCACACAACACTGTCTAATTGCTTGCTAATTCCCCCTGATGACTCCAATGCCATGCTCGGTGGGGAACTTCATGGTGAGGTGATAAGATGATATGGTCGCCTTGAGTGTATGAAGGGTCAGCCTCCCAATGATGGCATTGTACGAGGAGCCTATCTTCACAACCAAAAGTTCAATCATCCTAGTGACTTGCCAAGGCTCTGCCCTTACCATGACTGGTAGGATGATCTTCCCTTCTGCCTTGACAATGACCCTAGAGAAGCCGACCAATGGCACATCAATCGGTTGCAGTCGATCCAACGTTAGCTTCATCTTCTCAAAGGTGTTGTTGAACAGGATGTCTGCTGAGGCACTGCTGTCTACAAGGATCCTCTTCACCATGTAGTTGGTGATGGTCATGGACACCATCAAAGTGTCATTGTAGGGCACCAAAACCCCTTGTAGGTCATCATTAGAGAAAGAGATGACGTCATCTGGCTTTGACTTCTTGGGTGTTGGGCCTTGGATGTTGAATTGCCTGGCATACGCCTTTAGGGCTAAGGTCGATGCTCCGCCCGAGGGCATGCCCCCAGCGAGGACATCGATGACTCCTGCCAGGGTGTGATGGGCTTGGGCCTCATCTTGTTGTTGTTGTTGCTGTGAGGACGAGGCGCCGGTGTCACCCCCAACATATTCTTTCAAGTGTCCACGGCGGATGAGGGACTTGATCTCATTCTTGAGCTCGTAGCAGTCCTCTATGTTGGGGCAAGTGTTGCGGTGGTACTTGCAATACTTTTTAGGGTTACCCCTCTTGGGGTTCCTCTTCATCTTACCTGGCCACTTCATGTATTCCTCCTTCCCCATTTGCATGACGATATGCGTTCGGGTGGAGTTGAGTGGCATGTACTTGCTGAAGGAAGGGGCTTTCGGCTTCTTGTCATTATCTTTATTGGTGTGGTTGTGGTCGTGGCCGTCTCTTTCTTTCCTCTTCTTCTTAGAGGCCCCTCGGTTGGGGTCAACCTCAGGTTTATGGAGGCACTCAAGGCCTCTTTGGCGGCAATGTATTTTTGCGCCTTTTTCAAAAATTCTGCCTTGTTCTTGGGCGGTGTCTTGGAGATGGACCATTTGAAGGGTCCGGGTCAGAGGCTATTGATGGCAGCATGCATGGAAACCAAGGGGTCGAGGTCTCTGACATCAAGCTCTTCCTTCTTGAATCGGTCGATGTATGCTTGGAGGCTCTCTCTGCGTTTCTGCTTAATCGACATGAGTGACACGATGGTCTTCTAGCACCGTCAGCTGCTGATGAAGTGTGACAGGAAGATATCGGAAAATTGGTCCCAAGAGTTGATGGATCGAGGAGGGAGCGTGGTGAACCATCTTTCCATTGCTCCCTTGAAGGTGGCTTGGAAAGCTCAGCACATTAGGGCATCGGAATACCCGTAGAAGAGCATAAGTGCCTGAAAGCTCTCCAAGTGATCATCCGGATTGGTGGTTCCATCATAGGTCTCCAGAGTGGGAGCGGCTCCGAGGTGATGGAGTCAGTGAAGGCATCCATTCGGGTGGACGAGGGGTTCTAACTAGTGCATCACCTCAGCCCTCCTTCACCTGTCAAATTTGGTCTTGAATGGTGCCAATTTGCGTCTGTAAATTGCCAAGATGTTAGTCGATGAGGGCATGTGCCTCATCCTAGTTCTCTTTGACATGGAACAGGTCAGCCCTATTTCCTGAATTCTTGGACACCGACACATCTTGGGCTTTTCGAGCTCGATGATTGTGGAGGCCTGATATTGGTGGGGGAGAGGCTGGTGTCGACCTCTAGCCCTCGGAGGAGGATTGTAATGGCCAAAGCGCCCACCTTTGTCCCGGTTGCTCTCTACACAATAGTGGCAGTCGCGGTCCCAGCGATTGTCACGGGACCCAACTAGATCATCACCCCTTCAGCTGGGGAGCCAAGAGGTCTTCGACGAAGGCTTACTCGCACGTCGGTTGCTGCTATTGGATGTTGAGGGGTCAGCCTTGTTGGGGCCGATTGGGCGCTGGACCAGTGGCACATGAGTGGAGCGCCCATTGTATTGCCCTTGGCTCCCAATGGGGTGACCACCATGTGGGCGGCCTCCTATTGGGTGCCCCACCTCGTACAGTCTTTGTGCTAGGTTGTCTAGCCTATCGAGGACTAGCTTAACTTGGTCCATGGTGACTAGGTTTTGAGCATTTTGATCACTGTCCTGTTTATCAGCCATTTTGGAAGCTTAGCTGATTGAGTTAAATGTTTTCTTAGGGGTATGTCTTAAGAAATGTTCCCACAAATGGCGCCAATTGTTGTTGGCAAGGATGGGGCGAGGGCAGCAAGGTAACTTCACTTCTATCCCAGGTTGATGAATCTAACCTGAGAGTAGGAGAAGAGCACACGCCAAAGGCCCCGAGTGTTATCCCAGGGGCGGAGAATCCAATGGTCAAGTTAGTTAAGCACTTAAAATAAGGGTTGAACTAGGCTTGAGACGAGTGCTCACACGAGGTCTCTCGACAGTAGGAATGCAAGAGAGCAAGAGTGAGCAAGATGATCTTACCTTCAACTGGGCATCCCCTTTATGCTTGACTTTACCATGGAATGGTTGGAGGTAGTTAGAGATGGATGGCTAGGATCTCATCTGGCTGATGCCACATTGCGCAATCTGGGGCCTTGCCATGTACGCCTACATCAGGTTCTTTTTTCTTAGTTTTAATCACCATTTAAGTAGTGATAACTGTTTGAATAACTTTCAGCTTTCTATTTATAATTTTATTGTTTTGTATTTAGCATTATTATCAGTTCCTTTTGTCATAGTATTGAATTGTTCTTAGCGTTTTCATTTAATTTCTTTGTTAGTTAACTTTGGTTCGTTACAGATCAACTCACTCAACAGTTGTTTTCTTAGGTACATTTTTCAAGTTCTTTTATTCAATCATAAGATAAGTCCATTAGTCTCATTAACATTTGGTTGGTAGTGTTATATTCTTATTCTTAGATAATTTATGTTTCTCAAACTAATTTATTTACTCTAAAATAGTTTTTGGCATGGTTTGTTTAGTTCACTAGGCTTATTTCTTTAAATTTTATTTCCTTGTTTTCATAATCTATTTTAATCATTCATCATGGTTTAATTCACAATTTTCATACTTTTAGCTAATTTCATGTCTCTTTCCACATATATGTTGCTTAGTATATGTTGTTTAGCCCATGAGTTATTAAATTTTCCTTGGAAATTCAATGAAGTAAAGGCTGGTTTAACTAGGCATGTGTGGGGTACCTACCACCTTCACGCACCGTACCTTGATCCCTAAACCAACAAAAAATGGGTCAAAGAGTCATAAAAAAAGTTCATTTTCTTGAAAACCCAAGTTTTCCTAAATTTCCAATTCTAAAATTTTGATAGCCACTCTATTTTTTTAAAAGTGAATTGAGTCGATTTAACCCCCCTGTGGGAGGCAACCCCAAGGGTGGGTTTTTTGGGCTCTTTTATCATTAATGCAATATGGCGTCTGATCAATGGGGTGCTTCACATAAAAAAGGGTAGCCAATATTTTCTCTTGTGATGATGTAAGTAATTTGTTAGAGTTTGGATCTATTGACCACAACACATTGCTGGCCATATTCATCCAGCCGCATGTTGAGAATATGGATGACCACAACACACTCGGTGTTCCATAATGTGTAGTTGGGTGAAGGTGGCTAGCAATGTGTTGTGGTCAGCGGATGAGACTCAACTTGTCATTGTTTGAATGCCTTTATCCTCTTCTTACTTGCCCTGTTATCCATTTATATTTTTTTCTAAGAAATGTGGTTCATTTTTTGTATTGATCAAACTAGTCGTGTTTATAAGTTTTAACCGTTGGGGCCTTGGGCTTGTCTAGCCTAATATTAGGTGGGGTTAGGTCTGGGCTTGAGGTTTGTAACTTGGTTGTGTTTGGTTGCGATGCAAATACAAATATGTGCTATGCATAATTACCTTCTTTTAGATTTATAAATACAAACTAAGGTTCAAAAAATCGTTACGTATTGGCCCATATCAGCTAATACGTATCGTATCGGGCCCTTACTGATATGCCCTTACATGGGTTGTATCAGGTCAGACCCTGGTTCAGAGGGTAGTCAGGACTCAAATCGGCCCCTCTTAACCAAAATCGAAAAAAAGTAAAAGTTGAAAAAAAGGACTGATACAGGGCGATATGCCCCTATCGACGTATTAGCCAGTATCGATACTTTGAACCTTGATACAAACACGATTCACATTTTTAAATCGTTTTTGTACTCGTCTTGTTTGTTTGAAATCAATGCAAAGTGTGAGCCCTATCATTAATGCTCTAATTCCTTGGGCTATGTTTGGTTGTAGTGCAAATTTATTTACACTAGTACAAATACATGAGAATGCAAATGAAAACAAAATGCAAAATCTTATTTAATTTTGTTTTGGGTTTTACTTTATTCTGCTCCATGTCTTAATTTATTCATTTGTACTGCAAACAAACAAAATAAATTAAAATTTGAAACAAAAATAGGTCATAATGTACACTTAAATCATTTGCACTCTTATAGTTTTGCAGCAGTGCAAATTTTATTTGCATTGCAACCAAATACAGGCTTAAACTTTGGTCAAAAAGCAAAATCATAAAGAACACAAAATTGTATTAAAAAATAGATACTGTAATGCTCTCATAAAAAAAAGACAGGAAATAGTAGATAAACCAAACACAGCCTAAGACAGTAAGACCTTCAATCCGACCCAACTCGCCCGAGTTCCACCCCTAAACGATTCACAGAGTCCTGAACACGGGGCCATGCCATCTCAGCTGGTGAAACAATCAGAACAAAAACACGAACTCGCATGCCTCTCTCTCTAAAGGGTTCGTTTCCTGCTCAATTTCGGGGTGCAATCCCATTCTCGGGTTTCTGCTTGTCTGCATGCTTCTGCGTGTTAGGAGATAACCCTAGAAATCTCAATTTCAAGGGTTTCTCCTCCGTGTTCTCTTGCTTTTTGTTTTCGAGGATTTTGGTCTAGGAGTTCGGTTTCTCGTTTTTCTTTTTCTTCTGGATTTCTGGAGAGTTTTAGTACACCTATAGCAGTGATGGATGGATTCAATGATGAGGGTTTTGTTGAAGAGATCCTCAGTCCGAAGGATTTCAAGGGATTGGCAACGAGTTCGGCAGGTCAGCTTCGAATTTTAGTTTGATCATTGCTTTTGAAGCTTGAATTTCTGCTTGGTGTTTATTTTATTTTCTGGGTTCTGATAAGCTTTCCCGGTCTGGGTTTCAGTTCCTGCTGGTTTTATTTCTTCCAATTCTTTACGGTTCTTTTGAAATTCGATTAGTGGAAGGTTTTGTGCGTTTTCTTGGTGCTAATAGACTTTTTTCCCCGTATGATCTGTTTATTGTCACAAATTGGTAATCTGCAGGTCTGTAGAAGAGAGAGCTTGTAACTTTGTGTGGAATTACGGTTTACCTTGATACTAAGTGGGTACAATGGATCATCCGCGAACTGGTGCGAACGCAGACGATAATGTGGGAATTCCGGAGGACTTGCGTTGTAAGAGATCTGATGGGAAACAATGGAGGTGCAGTGCAATGTCCATGCCTGACAAGACAGTATGTGAAAAGCACTACATCCAGGCAAAGAAGAGGGCCGCGAATTCTGCACTGAGGGCGAGCCTGAAAAAGGCAAAGAGAAAATCGTTAGGGGAATCTGATATTTACTTGGAGAGTAGGAACGATGATCTGGATATGCCTCTTGTGAGCTCAAAGGGTGGAGAATACCATGCTCCTACAATCTCTGGAAAGAAGTATAAGGAGAAAGTTTCCAAAGCCCAGGTTTTGTATTCGCCTGAGACACCTCCAGTTAGGGTTTTGCCTACCCGCAGCCCTCTGAAATCGACTGAAGATCCACAAAGAGATCTTATGCTGTTTGATGACAACCGGAAATCTTCTTATAAGATTCCAGCATCTTCCAAGAGAAACTTTGATGCCAATGCCCTTGCGGTGAGTGGTAATGAACTTCCTTTGATTTTCATTGGTGGTAACTATCTTAGTGATGCTTCCTCAGTTGAGAACTGGTAAGCTTTGCTACCGTGTATGGTACTGGAAGACCTGATATCCCAGTCATCCATTTGATTTGAACATTTAGAGAACCCATATGAAAAATCTCTCCCATTGGAAGATTATAACCACTTCATCTATTGGTTTTTGTAGGCTTCAGACCCTAATTTTCACGTCTTCCAAGAGGATGACATAGATTCTACAACTCCTATTGGAAGATAATAACCATTAATCCATTGATTTTTGTAGACTTCCAGACCCTAATTTTCATGTCTTCCAAGAGGATGGCATAGATTCTACATCTTCGATCGGAAGATTATAACCATTTATCCATTGATTTTTGTAGACTTCAGATCCTTATTTTCATGTCTTTCAAGAGGATGGCATAGGTTTTACATTGATAAAAAAATGTCATAGACTGGATGGTCGTCAACTTAAAATTTTCATTTTTTGTAATAATTAACAAAATCTACAGGACCATGTATTTGCCTAGAAATTCTGGGGTTAAAGAAAATGAAGGAAAAAGTAAAAAAATTATGTTGTTAATATTGGGTTGGTTTTTGGATATGGAAGCCTTTTGGGCTGAATGCATTTGATGTTGGCTCTGTGGGTAGCTCTACAGCTAGTTGATGGGTACTTTCAGTTAGGCTCTCTTGATCTACTAGAGGGGGCACCTCTAATTTCTTCTTCCTTTTTTCATAGTTCATTTAATTGAATGTGTTCTGGTATCTCAGGACCTTTCAGATAGAAGTACAGATACATCTGAAGAAGCTGGTGGGCAAACTTGCCATCAGTGTCGGCGAAATGACAGAGGTAGAGTTATCTGGTGTCTGAAATGTGATAGGAGGGGATACTGTGATAGCTGCATTGCTAAGTGGTAAGGGTGCATAGAAGTTACTCAGTTGCAGTGTAAGAAACTTAGTATCCTACCTGGTTAACTGTATGTTTTATGATTTCTGTGGTTACATTATAGGTATCCTGACATATCATATGAGGAGATCCAGAGGGTATGCCCTGCATGCCGTGGGTCTTGTAATTGTAAAGCATGCTTACGTGGAGACAATTTGATAAAGGTATGACATTCAATGGTTTAGCCCTTTGAATAAGTTGTTCTAGGGTTGAACATATTAATTAATAGTTTGGAGGGTTTCTTGTTGCTGAAATTCCTTTCATMTTGGCTTCATGAAATGTTYATCTCTAGCKTCAATTGAGATGACATAGCCCTTGGTCAAATATTTATGATATTTGCATCTGATTGTAGGTAAGGATACGGGACATAGCTGTGCAAGATAAGTTGCAATATCTCCACTGTCTATTGTCCTCAGTTCTTCCTGTAATCAAGCAGATCCACTCAGAGCAGAGCTCTGAAATGGAGATTGAAACCAAGCTACATGGTAAGGTGTAGCCTATGTTCTGTTTGTATCTTAGTCCAAGGAGTTTTGCCTTGACAGTAAGTTGTTACATAAGCTTTGTTGTCTCTCTCCTCCAGGAACCAAAACAGATATTCCCAGGGCAAAAGTGCAAGCAGATGAGCAGATGTGCTGGTAATATCTGATACTCTGTCCCTTTTCTTCTTTTTGACTGTAAATACAATTGGTAAATCTATGCCCAGAATTAGACATTTAGAGTACCTGGACATATGCAATATCCAGGAGCCACTGCCCAGTGATCTGACTTTATAGGTCAAAATTACTTGCTTTATAGGCATTTTTTTGTTAAGGAGCTGGTGTTCTTTGTACATTTGTTCTCTGTATAGAGGGACTAGTTTTTCTTTTTTTTTTTTGTTTTTTCGATACAAATATATTACCATTTTTCAAGAAAGAAAAGAAAAATATTCATCGGCATTTCTTTTTACTTGTGAGATTTTGGCACACTGTTCAACCAAAAAATCCATTGATTAGGGGCTAATTGATAACAGTTGAAGTGGCTGAACTGAATGGCTTATTACTTTTCCTTTTGGTGAATAAATTGTTAAGAAGGTTGTGAGTTCCTTAATGGACGAAACTTAAATTGGGTTGATCACTATACACTTGAATAATTTATTTTTTAATTATCTGATCCACTAAAAAAAGAATTAATTCATTTAGTTCAGTCATTTCAGCCATTATCAAATGATCCCTTAGATAGCAGATGGCTTCTCTCTTAGGTAGGACCTGTTGAATGAACTGGTCAGAATCCTCTCATGTTTATAGTCTCCTTATATATATCAGATGGCACTAATCTATCATTTGTTCCTGTGCAGCAATTGCTGTAGGACACCTATTGTTGATTATCACCGACACTGTGCAAATTGCATGTATGATTTATGTCTCAGTTGTTGTCGTGATCTCCGGGAAGCTTCTCATGGTGTTGTTGGAGAACAGCAAGAAAATCAGTTGTCTGAGAGAAGCCAAGATGGAGTGACCATGATAGAGAAGCAGAAAACATCCAAGTTAAGAATGGTTTTATCAGAGCAGTTTCCTGATTGGAAAGCCAATAGTAATGGCAGTATACCGTGCCCACCAAAAGAGTATGGTGGTTGTAGTTGTTCATCTCTATCCTTAAGACGCATTTTCAAGATAAATTGGGTTGCAAAGCTGGTGAAAAATGTGGAGGAAATGGTGAATGGATGTAAGGTATATAATGTGGACAGTCCACGCTCTCTTGGGTTGAATGATCCAAAGTTCTGCCAAGCGGCCCACAGAGAAGGAAGTGATGATAATTTCCTGTATTGTCCAACATGTCAAGATATTAAAGTTGAAGGAATTGGTCATTTTCGCAAGCATTGGATTAGGGGTGAACCCATTATTGTTAGGCAGGTTTTTGATGGTACTTCAAGTTCGAGCTGGGATCCCATGGTTATATGGAGAGGAATACGGGAGACTACAGATGAGAAAACAAAAGATGACAACAGAACTGTTAAGGCTATTGATTGCTTAGACTGGTCAGAGGTATGTCTGCACAAACATGCTTGTACTGATAAATGAAAGGAACAAAGGCACACCCTTGGTTGGAAAACAGATAGGGATAGTACTACCTACTTGTCTGAATTGCATTTTAGTTGTTGAAAAATGCTCTGAAAGTTTCTGCTAATGATAGTTTGGCATGTGGACAGGTTGACATTGAACTTGGTCAGTTCATCAAAGGATATTCAGAGGGAAGAATCCATGAAAATGGATGGCCAGAAATGTTAAGGTTGAAAGATTGGCCATCTCCCAGTGCATCAGAAGAATTTTTATTGTACCAGAGACCTGATTTTATCAGTAAACTACCATTGCTTGAGTACATCCATTCCAAGTGGGGTCTTCTAAATGTTGCTGCAAATCTGCCCCATTATTCCTTGCAGAATGATGTAGGGCCCAAGATTCTTATTTCTTATGGGATATATGAGGAACTTGGTAGAGGTGATTCTGTGGATAATCTCCATATCAGCATGCGTGACATGGTATGTGTCTAGTGGTCCTCTCACATACTGTATTTCCACCTTGATATATAGGAACTAAAATTCTTTATCATTGAATTTGATGTAGAAATGTTTTTGACAGCTAGGCAGTAGAGTGGTAGTTAAAATCTTGAATCTGTTTTCTAATTCTTCTTGAAAATGTCTCATAGTTGCAATTTCACAATTCATTAGAAGCTTATTTCTATAATTATTTTTGAGCTTTAAATATAACCAAAATTATCATGTTTTTTCCTTAAGAAGATTTTCAAATGCATGGAAGATTATTATCAACATTTGATCATGATTGCAGGTCTTTTATTGATCTTTTTTTTTTTTTTTGTTTTCTTCCTGTTCTTTTTGTATGCTTTTGTCTCTTTTTTCTGTGTGCCAGTTCTTTACTGCTTTTTGGACAGCCTGTAGCTACAGCTCTTGATTTCTTATTCACAATGATTTCTATTTTTTTTTTTTGATGGATACATGAAAATTTTATTGATATAAAGAAAAAGAATTAGTTATAAACTTATAATGCACAAGTGGAAATGTGCTATCTATCAAAAAAAAAAAAAGTGGAAATGTGCCAAAGCACGCCTTACAGAGGAACAATGGCTCCCATTAAACTGATGCTAAAATTACATCATTGTCCAGCACTCCACTTGTGGTACTCTTTGTCTTGCTAAGGCATCCGCCAAAGCATTTGCTATCCTGCTTACCCAATTTTTTTTTGAGAGGAAAGGTTACTTTCATTAACAAAAAGAGGGAAGGATATACAAAAGATGCAAGGGGATTCCATCAATCCAAAAAAAAAAAACCTCCCCAGCATTACATGGGTAAACTTGAATTACTGTACAAAGAATCTCTTCCTGCCCCCGGTTTAGCCTACGCATCTGCCACATTGTTCAATTCTCTAGGAATCCATCTATAAAAGAGCAGTGCCAGACAAGATTTCTTTAATCTCATTAAAGATGTAGAAAAATCTCCAAGGTCCCTCCTTCAAATTTCCCATCCAGTTGATGATGATTCTAGAGTCACCTTCCACCACAACTGCAGAGGCATTCAGAGTTAACACCTTCCTAAGACCCACTAGTAAGGCTCAGATCTTTGCTTCTACATCTTCCGCCACACCATTGGGGCTGCTGAAAGCCCAGAGCAGATTGCCAGATGAATTTAGAATTCTACCCCCAATACCTGCCTGACCTCTGTTGATTTGAAAGACTACTACAGCTACCATCAAACTGAAGAGTGTACTCAGTTGGAGGTCTTGGGAGAAGAATAGGTCTTGTGGAAACTGACAAAGGTAATGAATTCAAGATCTGCTCAAGGTGTCTTTCTAAGTCACCTACAGAGATACCTCCGAACAGCTTAGAGACTCTCAACCACGAGATAACTACAACATTGATCTTACCTTTTAAATCTTCTAGAGAAGTGCTTTTTGTTTTCAAAGACACTTTTATTTCGTTCTTCTTAGAGACCACATTACAACAGGAGCAGAGCCAGGAATTTTTTATGAGGGGGGCCAAGTGGATTTGGGGGTGGGGATAATTATGGATGGGTCATTGGGGGCCAACCATTGGGGTGGGGAGTGGGGGGAGGGGGAAAATATACATTGGAATAATGGAATGTAAGTGATGGGGATTTCTGGGCCATAGGGGGGGGAGGGGCATGGCTCTCCTGGGTCGCCACCCCCCCCCCCCGGCTCAATCCCTGCATTGCAACATCCTCTTTTACTGAACTTATAACCTGGCCATTGTAATAGGAAATCAATCACCATATTAGGGGAAGGAAGTTGCTGTTAAAAAGGAAACCAAGGAAATGTTGCCAAAAGCTACGAGCTACCACACAGTTGATGAGCAAGTGTCCACAGGATTCACCATCATTCATACACATCACACACATGTGAAGAGCAATGTGGAGGAACCTATTCTTTTTCCTCAGAAGCCTATCACAGGTATTATACTACCATGGAAAGCCTCCCAGACAAAAAAAAAAAAAATTTAGGAGGAATTGCTGACAACGAAATCTTCTTATGGTGGAAGGGGGAGTTAGCTAAGCCTTGCATGAGTTTTATGGAAAAATGAATTCACAGTAAACTGGCCGGAAGAAGGCCACCAAATTCTCTTATCATTGGACAAAGTGGTGAAGAAAACAGGAGAGAGAAGATAGAAGATAGAAGAGAGGAAATATCATGAGTTTCTTCATCAGATAAAGCTCTACCCAAAGTTGCACATTGGGTAAAAACTTTGGAAATCTTCCATGATTTCTCCTTCAATGATATTCTGAGATCATGGAAGGAAGTGACAAGCTTGGGTCAAGAGAAAGAAAGGGTTATTATGGAGTTGAGGCTGCCAGCACCTAACTCTGTAAAATTAAATTTCAATGGAAGTTTTTTAGGAAATGAAAGGTTGGTTTAGGGGGTGTATTCCGACGTTCAGAAGGTGAGGTACTAGCACTCTACTCAGGTCCTGTGGAGCAAGGGGACTCACTGACAGCAGAATTAATGGCCTGCTTCAACGGCTGAAAATTGCATAACAGCTTTGCTTCCAAAGGTTAGAACTTAGAAGTGGAAGGGGACTCTCAGGTGGTGATTTCCTGGACAAATTTTCATTGCCAAACCCCTTGGATATACAGGCAAAGGATTAGAGAAATTGAAATGGTAACAAGGGAACTGAGTGTTACATTTAAATGGGTGAGAAGAACTGCAAATGGCATGGCAGATACATTAGCTGAACAGGGGGCAAACAGGCAACACTTATTTTGGGCTATATTGTAAGGCTGAATTTGGGGGATTGCATCTCTAGTTCTATCTATTTACATTATGGGTGTGGGTAAACTACCCCCAAATTTGTAAGTTCATCTTTCTCATTATGATTGATAAAAGTTACCTTTGCTGATAAAAAAAAAAGTTGAAAGTTGCGCCATGTTCCCCTCTAGAAATAACCTAGGAGATAGTGGCCTCTTCAGAAAGAGACCAATTCTAGAAGGGAGAGGGTAAGTAGTGCAGAGTGGCTGTTGACCTAGCCACAGGTCAGTCCAAAATTTAATTCTACAACCATTACTTGGACAATAATGCAAAAAAGGAGAGAATAGCTCAAAGTAAGACATTATACCTTTCTAGGGACTGAAGGAGGAGGCTTTGGAAGGAGATAGGTTGCTATCCCAACCATTCCTGTTAGTTTCATATTTGCTCCGAATGACTGAGGTCCATAAGGATTCCTGTTCCAAGGAGAATTTCCACAACCACTTACCTAACAAAGCAATGTTCCTCTCCAAGATATGTCCGAAACCAACCCTCCTTATGACTTAGGCTTACAGACTACCTTCCAATTAACTAGATGTTCTCTTCTTTCATCACCACCATTCCAAAGGAAGTCTCTTTGCAACTTTTCAATCTGGTTCCTAATGCTGGTAGGAATCTTGAAAACTGATAAGAAATAGGTTGGTTGGTTGGAAAGAGTTGCTTTAATGAGGGTGGCTCTGTCTCCTTTAGAAAGGTGGTTTTTCTTCCAGGATTCAAGCCTCCTTTCACAGCTTTCTATAGCAGGATCCAGAAATGCAGAGGGTCTAGGATTCCCCCCTAAGGGAAACCCCAAATACTTTGCCTGTAATACTACTCTTTGAAAGGTTGCATTTAAGTCCTGTAACAGCCTTAAAACAAAGTGAAATCCTTCTTAAATTTTCCAGGTACTCTTTTTTAGCCTCAAGAAAAATAACTGTCGTCTGCATAAATGTGATCCTCACCTCTCTTGCTATTCTGTTCAATTCAATTCTTGGTTTCGAAAAAAAAAAAAATCTGTTCACTTCTCTTATAGTATGGCTGTAACACCAAGGACCTGCTCTTTTATTCTTCATCCACCTGTTTACCATGCTAGAGTTGCTTTAAGCAGAATGTTGTTGTAATTGAGATCCTGCCCAATTTTCAGCCCTTGCAGCAGAGCCATTAGTTCTGCCTTAACATAGCATGCCCTATGGGACTTAACATTTTTGAATGCACTCCCTATCCCTGGCAATCTGGGATTACCTAAGCTGCACCTGTCAAAATTCCGCTTTTTAGTATTTGGCGGTGGAGGGATCCAAACATAAGTCACTAGAGGCCTTGGTATAAATGAATTAGCAATCTTCTGCCAGCCTCTTATATGTCATCAACCATGCAGTTGGCAAAGAGATTCGTAGGTTTGACCCTGGAAGCATTCTTAGCTGCTATATCTTTGAACCATTGCTTCAGTAGTTTGGCTTCAATCCTAAAAAATTCTGGCATTTTTTTTTTCTTCCCAAATCGCGTAAAGAATTGGTTGCTCTGAGTGATTTTTGTTTTTGATAAGAAACAGGGTAAAACTATTTATTCAACACCAAGTTGCACACAAAGTATACGGCCAAAGGAAGAAGACGATGGAATCTGAAGGGTCAGGCAGGCGGATAGTCAGGAGGGGGCTATAGGGGAGAATCTGGAAAAAGGAGGGGGTGAAGTTGTAATTTTCCAGGATGGAGTTGAGAAGTATTCAGTGGAGAAGGGACACACGGAGAGAGCGTTTAAGAGGGGGAGCATTCCCAATAAAGCTAGTTGCTCTTCCTCAAGACCGAATTCAGTTCAGTTTAAGAGTGTGTCCTACAAGTTTAGGAGATTGGTATGTAACTTTAAGAAGGGTGGGTCCCGCATTTGGGTAAAGGCAAGTTTGGATTTTGGTTAGGGAGAATTGAGGGAAGAACTAGCGAAAGGCTTGGGGTGTCTTTCAGAATCCATCAGAAGAAGGTTTCAGCAGCCATTTCATTGAAGGTGGATGTTTCTTGCGCCCGATTTATTGGGCATGGCTCAAGGACAGGTGAGACTTTTTTGAGTTTGAGTGAGGCACTTCGAGAGTCACAGGGCGAGGTGTTCCTGCCTCTTGATGAAGCTAAAGGTAAGCAAGATCCGCTTTCTTCATCTCCATTTTTGGGTCTGAGTCAGGAGAATGGGGGTACTGTTGCTTGTCACCAGAAGGATGGCTCGGAAAGGGAGGCGGTAGTGAAGGAAGTAAGGGTGGGGTGGAGAAGGCAGAAGAAGGGTCAACCATTGAAATCAAGCAAGGGGAGGAAGGAGCCATCATTGAGGTAGGAAGTGGCTCTTCAGAAACTGAGGGAGAGAAGGGGATTGCTTCTAACCTCCAAGATAAGTTAATTAGGAATGGTGTCGATTATGAGGTTTCCGAAGTGGTGGTTGGAAAATTGGGATTGGATTTGGGTTGTAGGATCAGGAGAAGAGGTTGGCCGGAAGTGGTGAGGTCTTGGAGATTCCTAAGAAGACCAGAGGTTTAAACAAGCTTAACATGATTCATGTTATGAAGGTATTTTCAAGATTTTCCAATCTAAGAGCCGGTCCTGGGCATCCCCAATCTAAACAAGATTTCCCAACCCCAGCCTTTGCCACAGAATCAGCCAAAATGTTGGCACTCCTAGGCGCCCATTTGAATGAGGCGTTCAAATCAGCACCTAGAGCTTGAGTCATTCTGACTAGAGGTCTGATTTTCCAAGGAATTTGGCCTTTGCCTTGTCATCCAGCAAAAAACCACTTGACAGTCACCCTCTACTTACACGTTCCTTAAATCTTGCCTAGCCAACAACTTCAAACCCTGAAGTTGCTCTGATGCATCTCCAAAGCATCTTTCCCCTTATGGTCATTGGAGAGATAGGAGACTACTCAAATCTGTTGGAGGAGACCACCTGCATCCAAAATGGTTAAGAAAATGCTCCCAAATTCCAGAATGGGGTGTAACCACTGTTTTAAACCAGGAAATAGAGAACAAAACCAGGAAGCTGATTAACTCACTTGGCTTAGAGGACTGTATGGGAATGATGGAGGGCTATTGTTCTCTCCTCTTCCTCGGTTCAATTCTTTTGTCAAAGTGAAACCCTCGAAGATTATTTTGTTTTTACTTTCCTCACAACAAAACCATGATAACATGCATCAGGTTCTATTATAAAAACTAAAACCAACCAATAAAATATTATATATTTTATATCTATTTTTATTTAATAAATATTATATATTATATATGTGTTTCAGTCCCCTAAGCATGCGCCTAGCATATATTTTCTTGGTGTTTGGGCGAGGCACTCTTTGAAAAGTGCCTAGTCACCTAGGCGACTTGACTACTATGATCCAAAAGTCCAAGCAAACGTTTTTGAGAGATTGGATAAGTCCATTGCCTCAAAGATTTCACTTTCCCTCAGGTCCCTTCTCAAACCTAAATCCCAAAGAGGCTCCAGCACCAAGCTAGTCACACAATAAGAAAAAAAATGTTTTTATTTAAAGAGCACAAATACGAGGGAATAAATCTTTTAGTGGTGAATTACCTCATCATAGGTCCTGCTAAATCTGGTTTTCTTTCCATCCAAAGCATCATAACGAACTTGAGAGATGAAAATCGAAAGTAACTTTCATTCCCACCTATTAGGGTCTACGCCGTAAATACTCTTGATTACAGCATTCCCAAGGGCTTTCTAGTATTGCTACCCTTCTTCCTTATTGATAGATACTTTGATCTTGCTACCAATAGAAACAGAGTTTCGGCCATTCTTGGAGCATCCTTAAACAGTTTCAAACTATCTATTTTAAATGGTAAAACAACTTCTTTGGTGATACAATAAATAGGTCAATTTATTGGTTATTTTGATAATGGAATTGGGATGGTTTCTTCCTTGTGAGGTCTTCTTCTAGAACTATCAGATAAGATTTATTGTCCACATCCCCTGCTTTATGCTAAGATGACCTTTGATTATTATTGTCTTAGGCTTTCTTTTTATTAATGTGGCTAAGACTTCTTGACATCTTAATATTGTTTAAAGGGCATCCTAGGTGCTTAGACTCAAAGGTGAATTTCATTTTGTGGGGTGCATCTCACCTGGCTTGTTTATATGCTTTTATGGATTAACTTTGGATTTGATATTTCAGTAGGCAATTTACTATTTTTTAGATGGTACTATGCTCTTTTTTAGAGTTTTAAACAGTTTGTGCTATGTAAACTTGAACCTACTAGAAGGCTACAACCTTTGTGTGCATGCTAACCGGTTCAACAGATAAAGGTTATTTTCTTTAAATATATATATAGGGTCAGGAATACCAGTTAACTTTATTAAGATATCTTCACAGTCTCGAAAGAAATGCATGTTGGAACCATTACAAATGCACAACCAAAGGCTGACAAATACTAGAAAAAGTTCACTCTGAATCTACTGTTGCAAATATAATCCCGGACCCAGAGACTACTGTTGACATGTCTTCCTTCAATTATTTGTTTGGCCCTCTTCAATTAAAGGAGAAAGTTTTAAGCCCTGGGGGAGAGAAAGCATCTTGGTCTTCAATGAGTTGCCATCTCAAGCAGAACCTAAAAAGCTCATCATGATGACTCTATTCTGCTCTCTAACCCTACCCCATATCCACTGACTATCCTGGTTTCCCAAGAAGCATCAGTTGAACAAAGTAGCACATACAAGGATTTATTAGATATATCCTTCTTTATTCTGATTAATAATATGTTTCATCTCTCTTCTGATTAATAAAATGTTCATGGATCTATTTAGTACATTATCTAATTTATCCTGATCTCTATGTAGGTATGCCTACTGATGCATACATCTGATTATAAAATGTTCACGAATCTATTAGTGATGATATATGTCTAATATATACTGAGCTCTATGTAGGTATACCTACTGATGCATACGTCTGAAGTGAAACTAAAAGGTTGGCAACGGTCGAAGATTGAGAAGATACAGAGAACTTTTAAGGAATCTGATGCAAGAGAATCAAGTGGGGATGTACAAACAAGCTCACATGAAGGAGGAAAGTCACCTGATTTAGCACTTGAGGAACATGGAATGCAGAATGAAAATATTACAGGGCTGGACATCAATAAAGATGAGATCATGGAGGAACAATCATTTAGTGGGATGGAAACTGCTTCTGGTGGTGAAAGGAAAGACCTTAGTTCTGGCCATCCAAACAAAGATAATGGAGATTTGAATGCTGAAAAGTCTCGCATAGGAGCTGTTTGGGATGTCTTCCGTCGCCCGGATGTTCCAAATCTGATTGAATATTTGAAGGTTTATTGGGAAGAAATTCGGAAATCTTCCAGTCTTCCAAATGATTCAGTAAATACTTTTTCTCCTATACTATAGATATGCATTTATGTTAACATTATCAACTTGTCATTTAGTCTGTGATGCTATTGTCATTTGGATATCAGGTAACTCGTCCACTTTATGATCAAGCTGTTTTCCTCAATAAAGAGCATCTGAGAAAGTTGAAGGAGGAACTTGGTAAGGGCTAAAGCTTATAATCTCTTCATGTTGAGTAGCTCTGATTCTTTACACTGCTTGTGCAGTACATATGCTGTTATGCACATATTTATTTAGAGCGAGTGTTTTTTCTGAACCAGTCAGAATTTGAACTGCTGGATGTGGAGGTTCATGATCCAGGGTTTGAACATGCCGAGCAATTATTTGATCATCATATGATTAACATGTAAACCCAATATTGAAGAATCGTTGCATTTAAAATCCTGGTCCTCCTAGCTTTAAATGTTTTTTTTTTTTTGACTCTTCCTTCAAATAAAAGCATGTGAAATTACTGATGAAATTTCTCTTCTATCATTCATACTCTTAATGTAAACTATTACTTGGCAGCTCATCTAAGGGTCTGTTTGTAGATAGAATTGGTATTGGATTTTAAGATGAAAGAATTAGGATTCACATAACTGGAATTGTGATGTTTGAATGAGCTTTAGATATCATTCTAAAGGTTATAATTTAACAATGTATGTCATTGAACATAATGGAATGGCAAAACAGGATTCATGTTAGCCGATATTGGTATTGGATTTTAAGATGAAAGAATTAGGATTCACATAACTGGAATTGTGATGTTTGAGTGAGCTTTAGATATCATTCTAAAGGTTATAATTTAACAATGGATATGTCATTGAACATAATGGAATGGCAAAACAGGATTCATGTTAGCCGATCTCATGTAGTTGGGACAAGGCTTAGAAGATGATGATGCTGAGTGAGCTTTAGAATATCATTCTAATACCATACCTTTAGGGGCGATCATTCTTGGCCCAGCCTGGGCCTGCATCAGGCCCACAAATTTCTAGGCAAGGCTTGGGCCCAACACTTCAGGCCTGGCCCGACCTGCAATATATATAATATTATATATTTAATATATAATATATACATAATATATTTGTATAATAAAATATTATATTATATATAACATATAATAAATAATATATTTAATATTATATATGTTATATATGCGGATATATGTTATTTTATTTTATATAAAAGTTTTAATGTATAATATACATATTCATTGAGTTGACACATGTATCAACTCATTAGTCAACTCACATAGAAGAGAACAACTTGTTTGGAGGCCTTGCCTTAATCTATGCAAGGAGACAAGCATGTGTTGAAGCCTATACCCTATTTTGTGCCTTAGGCCCAAAGCTAAACCAAGCCTAGTCCAACTGGCCTATGCAATACTTTTTTTCACGTAATTTTAAATTTCATAATATAATTAAATTTTTATTATTAAATGCTTTGTGCCCAAAGTCTGGCTTGGCCTGTAGGGTGGCCACAAGCCGAGCTGTTCATGAGTTGTTCGAGCTCGACTCGACTCGGTCTAAACCGAGCTTCGAGCCGAACTCGAGCCTAATATATGGGCTTGTTTGCTAATTGAGTCATCCTCGAGCTTAATATAGCTCGGCTCGTGAGGCTCGCGAGCCCAGTTGAGTATATGTACATAGGGTGTCACCTCGGCTCGACTACTGAAGGGGACCTTGTCTTGGCACCTCGGCTACTGAGGGAGACCTTGGTTTGGCACCTAGGCAACTAAGGGAGACCTTGGCTTGGCACCTCGACAGTTGAAGGAGACCTCGGCTCGGCACCTCGGCAATTGAGGGAGACCTCGGCTGCTAGGGAGACCTGCAATCAAAGGCAGCCGAGCTCGAGCTGAGTCGAGCTTTTGACTTGAGCCAAGCTTAAGCTCAAGTCTCAGGTTCGAATTGAACTTGAGCTTGATAATTTATGAGTGAGCTGAACTCGAATAGCCAGATATTCGGCTCGGCTCGGCTCGAATCCATCCCTACTGGCCTGGTCCATGATCACCCCTACTCATATTATTGAAATAGTTGGCTGTAAAGGTTAGCTTATTTCATACAATCTATACGTGCTCATCATCTAATGTTGTAATATTTAGCTGAAAATGCCCTCTGTAGGTTTGTTGGAAGACCCTAAAGATGAACTTGCTTAATGTGTCCAAGGAATTCCACAAGAGGGGAAGAATCAACCTAGATGCAAATGCCATGTTTCTAGCTTGAGTACCCAAAAAGGCCGAGGCTTACCAATTCAGTGAGTTTAGACCCATAAGTTTGGTGGGTCAGCCTCTATAGAATTATTGCCAAAGTCTTATCTTTGAGGTTTAAGGATGTCCTTCTTGGTTTAGGTTTGGGGAGGTTGAGCCTAAGAAATTTGGGTTGTCTGGGTAGGGTAACTGGTTATGGAGATACTCCAAGGAATCAAATATTGTTTTGCATTTGGTGGTTAGGAGAGTAGTTGATCAAGACTACAATCAGTCTTGAATTCGAAAGAAAAAGGAGAAATTTCAGAAGAAAAGATGAAGAGAGGGTGAAAAGAAGAAGCACACGAAGGGATTTAGAAAAGAGAGAGAGGGTTGATCAATCGATCTGCTGATCCACTCTTAATATTTATATATGTTGACTAATTGTAAAAGGGCTGAATTGCCCTTATTGCTTACATGGAAAATAAACTAATAATAAAGCTGAAATAACAAGCTGTAACAACAAACTGAAATAACTACCAATAACTACCAACTAACACTGACATAACTAACAAAARATATGCTATGCTGCCATATGAACACAGTGGGGATCACAGCAGTGGGGTCCACATCAGTGTTCTCTACACTCCCCCTCAAGTTGGGAATAGATATTTGTCATTCCCAACTTGCATAGGTCTGCCTCTAATTTCTTCCTTGGAACAGCCTTGGTGAGAAGATCTGCGAGCTGCATGCTGGAGGTGATATACGGGAGATATACTTCTTGAGACGAAACCCTTTCTCTGACAAAATGTCGGTTGACTTCGATATGCTTAGTTCTGTCATGCTGTACCGGATTATGAGCTATATTAATAGCAGCCTGATTATCACAATACAACATTAAGGGATTCTCATAAGCAATACCCAACTCCTCAAGTAATGACTTCAGCCACACCATTAGCCATAGATCTATAATCAGCTTCAACACTAGAACGAGAAACAACACTTTGTTTCTTACTCCTCCAGGAGACAAGGTTACCTCCTACAAAGGCATAATATCCAGAGGTAGACCTTCTGTCATCAACACTCCCAGCCCAATCAACATCTGTATAGACCTCTATTTTCATGTGATCATTATTCTTGAATAATATACCTCTACCTGGACATCTCTTCAAGTATGCTAATATTCTTTCAACTGCAAGGAGGTGAGTAGTTCTAGGAGAGTGCATATATTGACTGACAACGCTGACTGCATAACTGATGTCCGGTCGTGTGAGACAAAGATAGAGGAGTTTTCCAACCAATCGTTGGAACATAGTTTTGTCTTCAAGAGTCTCTCCACCCTCTGCACTGATCTTGTGATTCTGTTCAATAGGTGTATCTGCAGGCTTAACACCCAACTTTCCAATTTCTTCCAATAGATCTAGAACATACTTCCTTTGAGAAATAAAAATCCCATGTTTAGATCTAGCAACCTCAATACCCAAGAAGTATCGTAGCTCTCTTAGATCTTTCACCTCAAACTCTTGATGAAAGAGTTGTTTAAGAGACTCAATCTCACTGTCATCACTGTTATCTCAGATCTAGCAACCTTCCAACATGTGTCTTTAGTATGCTTAGGTTTCTTGCAATGTTCACACACTAGATCCCGCTTATCTTCCTTCTTTATATCCCTCTCCGTATCACCCCCAGGCTTGGGTTTAACTGCTGCCAAGGCTGGTGGGAAGGGCTGATGCTGCATCATAACCTTTCTCCTAGTCTCTTCACTATGCACCAAGGAGTAGGCTTGAGATAAGGTCACACTGTCCCTTGTTAGTATTTGTTGTCTCACAATATCATAGTCAGGATTCAGACCAGATAGGAATTCAAAAACCCTATTAGTTTCAACTTGCTTTCTATGAGTCTGTGCATCCTTCTGACTTTCCCATTCAAGTGTTTCTAGGCGGTCAATTTCATGCTACAAAGATTTCAAAGTAGAGAAGTAAACCGAGATTGGTTTCTCTCCTTGCTTAAGGTTATTAACCTCACACTTCAATTCATAGGCCCTAGCAACATTAAGGGGTTGG